TTAATATATATAAACTAAATAAACGTTTTGTTTATTTCGATCCTATGAAATAAGACGCTTATTTTAATTGTTTCTAGTAATTGTTGAATTCAGTTTAATAGTTGTCATGAATCAGATTCTAAATAATAATCAAATCGAACCACAGATACATATATTTCAATACATATACAAGTAATCTGATTCATGACAACTATTAAACTGAATTCAACAATTACTAGAAACAATTGAAGTAAGCGTTTTATTTCATATCTAAATAATAATCAAATCAACCACATATCTTTATATAATTATCGATACGCGCGTATAAAAGTATATCCACGCATGTATTGTGTGCTTTTATTAGCAATGGCTCATCTCACTTCCCATATCTTTAATATTAGAAAAGCTACATTTAGTACATAGTCACATTTAGTACATAGTCACATTTAGTATAGTGCTTCGAATTTATGATTTTTTTCCTGTCCAAATAAAAATACGAGATTATCATCCGTAGCTTCTTGCAGTTAACCTTTAATTAATGAAAAAAAAGACATGTCGGTTATTAAAGTTAGATTCTGTAATAGAAAAAAATTATAACAAAAAGCGTGACGTACACAACAGTTAAAATCATGAATTTTCGAAGTTCTTTTTAGTATAACTGTTTTTTGCTGCAGTAGAGAAATATTCTAAGAATAATCTAGTGTATTTGTTTTAATATTTAATACGGAATTAATAGAATATACGGAGTTAATAGAATATACGGAGTTAATAGAATATACGGAGTTAATAGAATATATGGAGTTAATAGAATATATGGAGTTAATAGAATATACGGAATTAATATAATATTAACTCCGTATATTCTATTAATTCCGTATTAGAATATACGGAGTTAATAGAATATATGGAGTTAATAGAATATACGGAATTAATAGAATATACGGAGTTAATAGAATATATTTCAGTTTAAATACAAACAGTGAAACATCAAATAGGAGATATAGACCCTCCGTGTCGAGGACAAATGAAAATTAATTAACTTTTCATTATCAGTAGTTCAAGAAATTTAAAATTTCTTCGGATGCGCCACAATTTAATTTCTTCCCTAAAATAATATTAATCCTTCCCCTGGTAGTAGCTACTTCAAACTGGATATTTGGAATGGTGGTAAGAATGCTTGTATCTAAAAAAAAATCTGATTACAACAAAATCTAACTCTTATCAATGGCAACTGCTGTATTGTTACTCAGTTCCTACTCTTGCGTTAAATACTAAAATATACATTCAACGTTAAAACTAGGTTGGATGCTGGTATTTCGAATCTTACCAAGCAAGGTTTACAATTAATTAGTTGTTTTTTATACTAATTGCAATTATCAATCACTATTTTCCATTGGGAATATAGGAATGTTGGTTCTTAACTGGAAATAAGAAAAGCTAACGTAATTTGGTAATAGTGCATTACTTGATACACTTCTCATAGTACATGATTTGGAGATAAATTTATAACGACCCACTGATAACTTCATGTTTACTTGCTGTAGCGTGACCATTCGAAAGTTCTCGTGATTAAAAAGATAAATATATCTTTATTTCAGTTAGGTACTATGGCCCAAATAATTAAAAGATTTAACACAAACTACAGTCGCAGACATACTCGCGCGTGTCTTTGAGCACGAGCGCACAAGACCTTTATTACTATTTAAATGTTGACATTGACACGTGCAAGACGGTAAAATGTTCAACAATTAACCGATAATTCAATGGAAAAACAGGTACCATTAAAATATTAAATTCTCCGTAATCAAGTAAAATCAAGAATGTAATGCATAAGGCACCTAAGCATCCTATTTTATATCTGATTACTCTAATGAAAATTTCTAATGGTTTGTTTATCATCCATGAAGGTTAGAATTTTCCATACCTTATAAACGGTTTCTGTAGTTTAATATGTTTAGAAGATCAGTTTTAAGCAAAAAAAACAAAGACTTCGGCTAATATATTGAAACGATATAAGTAAATTATACTTTCAAACATTACAGAACTTACGTCTGTAGTAAAGTTACTACAAAAAGCCATCATTACGATTCCTCTTATTCTGTTGTACAAACTCCTTGTCCTTCTCAGTTATCATTTCGCTTAGCTCTTTGTTATGCTCCTGATACACCCCTGCTTGTTCCATCACAGAAAGCAGTCTCAAACTGAATATGACATTTATTAATGTTATCAAGCCCCTCTAAAACAAGTCAGGACCGTAAGTTTAATTACTACCTATATTGTAATGTGACAATAAAAGATTTTACTTCTTGTGTTTCATTTTGCTGTTATTTCAGACATAATTATGGACATATATATATATATATGTGTGTGTGTGTGTGTGTGTGTGCATATACATCCTTAAAAGCAAGTCAAAAACTATAGACATCTATAGAGGTATCTGGACATTTCTTTAAATTTCTACAAGAAAGGCCCGGCATGGTCAGGTGGTTAGGGCGCTCGACTCGCAATCTGAGGGTCGCAGGTTCGAATCCCCGTCACATCAAATATGCTCGCCCTTTCAGCCGTGGGCGCGTTATAATGTTACGGTCAATCCCACTATTCGTTGGTAAAATAGTAGTCGAAGAGTTGGCGGTGGGTGGTGATGACTAACCGCCTTCCCTCTTGTCTTATACTGCTAAATTAGGGAAGGCTAGCGCAGATAGCCCTCGTGTAGCTTTGCGCGGAATTCAAAACAAACAATATACAAGAAACGTTTTCATATTTTCTAATACAATTTATCTGCCTTTCCAGTTAGCACTTTATCTCAGTGTTCATGCGAAGTTCAATAATATTACTTAGCGTTTCGTTACTGAACTCAGGACCCAAATACGAGTAAAACCCGCCCTAACGTAGAACAATTGCACATAATCGCTATATCAAAATATTAATATTTACAAATACTGTCTAAGTAAGTTTTCATACACACACAAAAAAAAAACAATAAATAAAATTGTGGGAAATGTTTTAACCCTGTCAGATCCGGAGACAAGTAGGACAATATTTTAATGACGGGGTTTGTCATTTAATGTTAATTATTATTAACACCTGCTACACGAGCCACTCCGGCATCTTGGTTTGGTTTATTTGTTTGTTTGGAATTTTGCGCAAAGCTACACTAGAACTATCTGTACTAGCCGTCCCTAACTTATCAGTGAAAGACTAGAGGGAAGGCAGCTAATCGTCATCACCCACCGCCAACTCTTAGACAGTTTTTTTTACCAACGAATAGTGGGATTGACCGAACTTTATAACGCTCCCACGGGTTCAAAGGTTGAGCATG